AGCGGCCCCGTGGGCACGTACAACCGGCCCCGATGCTTGAGTAAACCCTCCTCCAAAGTCCATGGGGAGTCGGGTCCAACCTCCCTGGTCCTCTGCTGCGACCAAGCGTCTAGGCGCTGCGCCTCTCGTACCTGAGTCTGCAAATCCACCGGTTCCTGGACTACGGCCAAGGATTCTGCTGGCAGCACCGTCCGCAGAGGAAGGGGGTTCTCGGGGCAAAGGTACTCAGGTTTGCGAGACAGGGCATCCGCCCTCCGATTATGACCACTGGGGATATAGGTCACAGAAAAGTTGAACCGGGCAAAAAACAACGACCACCGGATCTGCCGCTGATTCAATTTTCTCGCCATGGACAAATGTTCCAAATTCCGATGGTCCGTCCAGACCTCCACCTTGTGTCGGGCCCCCTCAAGATTATGTCACCAAGTCTCGAAAGCAGCCTTGATAGCCAGAAACTCTTTTTCCCAGATGGTGTAATTGCGTTCGGAAGGAGTGAGTTTCCGGGAATAGTAAGCGCAGGGAAAAAGAGTCGCGCTATCCACCGGGGTTTGCAACAACACAGCCCCAATAGCCACGTTGGATGCATCCGTCTCCACCACAAAAGGACGATGCGGATCAGGATGCCTCAGGACAGGTTCTGCGATGAAGGCCTTCTTGAGGGCCTCAAAAGCCTGTTGCTGTGGGGATCCCCACTGGAACGGGACCTTCTTTCGAAGGAGCTGGGTTATTGGACCCGTCAGCTTGGCAAAACCCGGGATGAAGGTCCGGTAATAGTTAGCGAACCCCAAGAGGCGTTGAACATCCTTCACGCGACGAGAGGGTTCCCAACTACACAAGGCCTCCACTTTACACGGGTCCATGGCGATGCCTTCAGGAGAGATGATGACTCAGGACTCGGAGCCACAACATACATACATACATACATACATATTATATACATATACATACACACACACACACACACACTGCTCAAAAAAATAAAGGGAACACTTAAACAACACAATGTAACTCCAAGTCAATCACACTTCTGTGAAATCAAACTGTCCACTTAGGTAGCAACACTGATTGACGATCAATTTTACATGCTGTTGTGCAAATGGAATAGACAACAAGTGGAAAGCATAGGCAGGTAGCAAGACACCCCCAATAAAGGAGTGGTTCTGCAGGTGGTGACCACAGACCGCTTCTCAGTTCCTATGCTCTCTGGCTGATGGTTTAGTCACTTTTGAATGCTGGCGGTGCTTTCACTCTAGTGGTAGCAATAGACGGAGTCTACAACCCACACAAGTGGTTCAGGTAGTGCAGCTCATCCGGGATGGCACATCAATGCGAGCTGTGGCAAGAAGGTTTGCTGTGTCTGTCAGCGTAGTGTCCAGAGCATGGAGGCGCTACCAGGAGACAGGCCAGTACATCAGGAGACGTGGAGGAGGCCGTAGGAGGGCAACAACCCAGCATCAGGACCACTACCTCCGCCTTTGTGCAAGGAGGGACAGGAGGAGCACTGCCAGAGCCCTGAAAAATGACCCCCAGCGGGCCACAAATGTGCATGTGGCTGCTCAAACGGTCAGAAACGGTCAGACTCCATGAAGGTGGTATGAGGGCCTGACGTCCACAGGTGGGGGTTGTGCTTACAGCCCAACACCGTGCAGGACGTTTGGCATTTGCCAGAGAACACCACAATCGGCAAATTCGCCACTGGTGCCCTGTGCTCTTCACAGATGAAAGCAGGTTCACACTGAGCACATGTGACAGGGTTTGGAGACGCCATGGAGAACGTTCTGCTGCCTGCAACATACTCCAGCATGACTGTTTTGGCAGTGGGTCAGTAATGGTGTGGGGTGGCATTTCTTTAGGGGGCCTCACAGCCCTCCATGTGCTCGCCAGAGGTAGCCTGACTGCCATTAGGTACCGAGATGAGATCCTCAGACCCCTTGTGAGACCATATGCTGGTGCGGTTGACCCTGGGTTCCTCCTAATGCACGACAATGCTAGACCTCATGAGGCTGGAGTGTGTCAGCAGTTCCTGCAAGACAAAGGCATTGATGCTATGGACTGGCCCGCCCGTTTCTCAGACCTGAATCCAATTGAGCACATCTGGGACAACATGTCTCTCTCCATCCACCAACGCCACGTTGCACCACAGACTGTCCAGGAGTTGGGGGATGCTTTAGTCCTGGTGTGGGAAGAGATCCCTCAGGAGACCATCCGCCATCTCATCAGGAGCATGCCCAGGCATTGTAGGAAGGTCATACAGGCATGTGGAGGCCACACACACCACTGAGCCTCATTTTGACTTGTTTTAAGAACATTACATCAAAGTTAGATCAGCCTGTAGTGTTTTTTTCCACTTTAATTTTGAGTGTAACTCCAAATCCAGACCTCCATGGGTTGTTAAATTTGATTTCCATTGATCATTTTTGTGTAATTTTGTTGTCAGCACATTCAACTATGTAATGAACAATGTATTTAATAAGAATATTTCATTCATTCAGATCTAGGATGTCTTATTTTTGTGTTCCCTTTATTTTTTTGAGCAGTGTATATGTTTTCTTAAGTTTTCGCGCGTATCTATATGTATGGTATTCAGCTTTGTTCAGGTATTTCCCACGTCATTATAGTTGTGCTTTTAAAGTTGTAGTGACGTTTCGGCAGAATCTCATCTGCCATCATCAGGCTTCTGTATTGTGTTCATCTGTGAGTCAGGCTTTCACAGCTGTTTCTGTTTCTGTCAAAAACAGAAATGGCTGTGAAAGTCTGACTCACAGACGAACACAATACAGAAACCTGATGATGGCAGATGAGATTCTGCTGAAACGTCACTACAACTTTAAAAGCACAACTATAATGACGTGGGAAAATACCCGAACAAAGCTAAATACCATACATACATACATACATACATACATACATACATACATACATACGTATGTTAGAGTCATATTAGGTGAGATGGATGGTCATATAAACAAATTAAATAAATTGATAAAATTAAGAACACCAATACAATCTTAAGCCATCCTTTTCAAGAACTGGAAAATTAAGAATGATCAGAATTTGTTGAAAGACTTCAAATTCTTTGAAGTTCTATCCTAGTTCTGACTTTGACCTGACAACATTATTATTTCAGCCAAGATCAAATCTGAATTCAATGTGCAAGACAACACATTGTTCCATTCTTTTGAAATAGAATTCAAACATATTTTAATTAATTTGATCAATCTGATAAAATTCAATTTAGATTACAGTTTAAGTACTAAAATGCATAACTCTGATTTATTTTTAGGGACAATGGAATAAAAAAAGGAATGTTGTATATTTTTCAACAGAGGTTTTCTATTTTTTTTTCAAAAGGCAACCTGTTTATTCAAAATATTCTCAAAACCTCTTATCAAGAGGGGCAGAGCTTCTAAACGACTACTGACAAATCCTATCTTTCTCACTATACTTCAGTCACTTCTGGGAGAGAACTTTTGTGCAAGGTATTAAGGAAGAAAAATAACCTTAAACAGACAGGACTTTTTCTTATTTGTCTGATGGAATCCATACAAGTCCTGCAGAAACCAGTTTGAAAAATCCTACTTTAGAAGACATTAATTCTGCAAAGTTGTGCTTGAAAATATCAAGATTTCATTCAGTAGATGTTCAAAATAACAATTACAAGGGAGAGTTAGTACAATGAAGAAAGTCTAAGCATTTTTTAAATTATAGAAACTTTTAACTCCAATTAAGTAGTTAGTAAGATTAAAATGCAGCCTTCAAAAATTATTTAAAATTGAACAAACCTCTGACCACCTGCTTTTCAAGACTTAGAGGCTTGCTGGCAAGATTTTTTCCAGAAGGGCAGTTTGAACTGTTTTTTAAATAATTGTGTTTAAGAAATCTTAGCAATGTATATTATTACTACTTCATTATGTCAGTATGGCATAAAATAACATACTTATTCAGTACTAGACTAGACAGAAACAGATGAGTAACAAAAAGAACAGATTTGGTTCTGATTATTTTAGGAAGAATATGAAAGGAACCAATAAGGACTGTTAATCAGGTCAGTAGATTAAGAGATAAGGGAGGAAAACAATACAAACATTAAACATGGAAAAAGTAGAGGAAAGTAAAAGTAGAAACTAAAAAAGTAGAAAGTAAAATTAAAAAGAAGAGCCAGTTGGTTTTATTGGTTAAAGTACCAGGCTAGAAATCAGAACAGTAGTTCTAATTCTGCTTTAGGCATGAAAGTCAGCTAGGTGATTTTGGGCCTATCACTCTCTTTCAGACTAACCTACCTCACAAGATTGTTATTGTGAGGAAAATAGGATGAAGGAGGAATTTTTGATATGTTCATCATCTTGAGTTGTTTCTAAAAATGATAAAAGCTGGATAAAAATGTCTAATTTAAAATAAATATAAAAACTCAAGAAAGAATAAACCAGAATACAACAAACAGCGGAATAAATCTGCCCTCCCCCCACTTTCACTTCTAAAGCTAAACAAATTCTAATAAAAGAGGGATGCAACTAAGGTGGTGTTATAAGTGGGTTTTAGGTGATGTAAAACTCACTGGCCATTCACATCTGTATCAGAGAGGTGAATACCCCACTTAATCACTTTTCAGATTGGTTTATACATGAAACATTTGCAATAATGAAAACTGTTTCATTTTTCAAAGGAACAGAATGAACGAAGAGCCCCTAGAGCACGTGTCACAGGTTGCCGTCATGTGACATTTTGCGATGATTTCCCATTCGCGGAGCTGAGGTGGGCATGGCCTGCAGTGATGCATCTGGCCTGCAGGCCACCAGTTTGACACCCCTGCCCTAGAGCTTTTACCAGTGAAAGAAAAACAGGCATGTCCATTTTAATTAAACCAACATTAACAAATAAGTCAGGTCTAGTTTTTTTGTTCTTCTGTCCTTCAACATTTGCATCAACTCAAGCAAACTGTCTTAGGTTGATCAAGCTCTAATTGTAAAGCATTTTCTACCTAAGGAAGAGGTGATACTTGCCTCATTGATGCTTATCTCTGCTTCCACATACTGTAGGCCTTTCTGAAGTATAGAGATAAGGGCAGCAGGTGGCACTAGTGTTCCATTGATATTGGATTGGCTAATATGACTCTCTATTCCAAATGTAAAGGCGGAATGGGAAAAACCTGAGAAAAAGGAAGGCATGATATGAAATCTAAGCTCTCTGCAATGTGACACATATACTAAATCCAACACAGCTGAATCCTGCACCTGTCCCAACAAGGGAGAAAAATTGCCACATTAAATCTAATAGAAAATATATATATGAATATATATGAAATGAAACAGAAATAATATACTTTAATGGGGTATATATTTCCACACATCACCTTGATATTTGGTCTATATATTTGGTGATTAAAGCATAAAGCTTAAGTGGCACATTAGATAATAATGAGCTGAATGTTTCTAGTAGCAGAGGGAACATAAAACGAATATTGTTCAACCAATTCTAAAAGAGGTTATATGTCACAGAAAAATCTGGTATGCAATCTAAGTTGTTCATTGATCCAATATCATTACTCAAGAGATTTTTCTCTGTGAAGTATCTTATATCCATATTGGGCTGCTTTGCCAACAGTGATCATAACTGGAGAGTTGAGCCAAATTATCTATGCTCTTGTAAGCTCCACCTAGGCTGTTATCATTCATTGCATGTGGGGCTGCTTTTCAAATTTCCCTAATAAAAGCTGTTCTTAATCCAAATTAGGAATTGAACATCTCTAACATATTTCACAAAAGATCTATCAGCAGCAGCTATATCCAGGCAATTATTGGAGATAATGTTATTTATTGCTGTTGAACTTTAAAGGGCACAAGGGCCTGTTTATCTGCTTTACCCAAATATACCTAAAACCAGAAGATTCTGTCACTATCATTCACTTATTCTCTAAACCAGTGGTTCCCAAATTTTTTCAGTCCACCACCCCCTTGGTGCTACAAACTCATCCTCAGTGCCCACACCCAGGGGTGGAACTCAAATTTATGTGGTTGTGGCCTAATTTGAGGGTGTGGCTTGCTGGACACATGACTGGCTGGGCATGGCTTGCTGGCCACATGATGGCTGGCGTGGCTTGCTGGCTGGGCATGGCTTGGTGGTCACATGGCCGGGTAGATGTGGTTTGGTGGTCATGTGACTGGGTGGGCATGGCCAGGTGACTGGCAAACCAAATACAAGTGGTCCTCACTTAATGGTTGGTTTAGCAAGTGTTCTAATTTATGACTGGCCTCCCCAGAGCTACTTGACCTATTTTTGGAGTTTTGACAGCCATGCACACACATACACACACACTCCCTTCTAACCAGGGGTGGGATTCTACCAGTTCCCACCTATTCCCTAGAACCGGTTGTTAACATTCTAAGCAGTTCGGAGAACCGGTTGTTAGAAGAAATTAGTGGCCTAATCCTGTAAGGAAGGCAGGAAGGAAACATTCTGGTGTTGCCTACAGAAACTGCCTCTCTGTTAACCCTTATTACATTCTTGGCAGGACTAGACTTCCTGTCTCAGGAACTTCTCTGGAGTCTTTTTCCCCTCCTTTCTGGTACTTTGCTTGTGTGGAGTGACCATTCAAAGTTACAATGGCACTGAAAAAAGTGACTTATGACCATTTTTCACACTTATGACTGTTGCAGCATCCCCACAGTCATGAGAGGCCAGGCGAGGAGATGCATGCCTCAATGTGAGTTATATTGAGTTAGCCACGCCCAGAGAACTGGTTGTTAAAAAATTTGAATCCCACCCCTGCTTCTAACCCTGCTGGAGCAGGTCATTGGATTAGAACTGGCAAAGCATCTGTGATTAGATTCTAGTAGTGAATAGAATCTAATCAGAGATGCTTTGCCGATTCTTGTTGATTTGTTTTATTTGTATTTCTTTATTTTATGTTGCTGAATTGCATTGACATGTGTGTCCCTTCTTGTGCACAGCCCAGAAGCTTTTGTGATTCTTTGCAGCAAAAATTACCGACCTCTGGCTTTGCTCTACTTTTCAAACGTGCCACCACTGCCGCGTTTTAGGTGCCGGCACCGCAGGTCCACCCCATTGAGCCCACTGCATCGGAGGGACCTGCCCAAGCAAGTCTGAGTGGAGTGGTGCACCAAGTCAATGGGGTGAGCCTGAGTGAGGGAAAAAGAGAGAGAAAAAAGAAAGAGAGAAAGAAGAAAAGAAAGAGAAAAGGGAAAGAAAAAGGGACAAAGAAAGGGGGGATGGAAGGAAGGGACAGGCAGGCAGGCAGATATATTGGTAGATAGATAGATAGATAGATAGATAGATAGATAGATAGATAGATAGATAGATAGATAGATAGATAGATAGATAGACAGACAGAAAGACAGGTGGGCAGGCAGTCAGTCAGGCAGGACTTTTGGATGGATGGATGAATGGATAGGTAGATAGAGATATTGGTAGACAGATAGATAGGTAGGTAGGTAGACAGGCAAGCGGGTAGGAAGACAGACAGACAGACCTTTTGGATGTATGTATGTATGGATAGATAGGTAGGTAGGTAGGTAGATAGATAGATATATACATAGATATTTTGGATAGATAATATTCACCAGACATTAAAAAAGCCAAAACATGCAAACTCTGGCTTTGCTCTACTTTCCCAATGTGCTGCCACCACCGCGTTCGAGGCGCCGGCTCCAGGCAGGCTCGCCCCATTGAGCCCCTTGCATCGCTCCAGTGCAACAGTCAATGGGTTGAGCCTGTGGGGCCGGCGCCTTGAATGGCTTTGCTCTACTTTCCCAACATGCCGCTGGAGCTGCGTTCAAGGCGCTGGCTCCGCAGGCTCACCCCATTGAGTCTCTTGCACTGCTCCGGTGCAACAGTCAATGGGGTGAGCCTGCGGGGCCGGCACCTCGAATGCAGTGGCGACGGCACATTGGGAAAGTAGAGCAAAGCCAGAGTTTGCATGTTTTGGCTTTTTTAACGTCTGGTGAATATTATTTTAATTCATGTACATTATCATGTTGAAAATGGAGAATCTCAGGTTGGTAATATATTGCATTTTATGCTCTGCTGCTATGATTCTTTTATCTTTTTTTTCCCCCTACAATGATAAATATGTTTTGTTGCAATTATTTTCATTTTTTTTTGCTCTGGTGAAGGACTAACTACCATATATTACTACACTGCTTTTAACAATATAATTGGTTAATAGGGCTGTGCAGCACTTCAGATTTGTTTTTAAAATATTCCAAAAATATTTTATTGGATTCTGAGCAGAATGCAATAAAACAAAATGAGTTTTTAAAAATAAAAAATAAAGCTAAAAAGAAACAAATGGAGAATTTGGTCAAAGGCACCCACACATACAACACAGAGCATCTCTCCAAGCTCAGCTCAAGGCCTGGGAAAACAAACAAGGTTTTTTAAGCCTTCTGAAATTCCAGCAGCATGGAAGCCATATAGATCTATCTCCAAGGGAAACTCTTTCTCAAGGACAGGCACAAAAAGACTAAAACAGCCTTATGGAACTTAGGCAACCCATCCTAATTAAATACAGAAAGGGTAATAATATATGTAAGGATTTTTCTGGAATGGCAATGCAGTATTGCTAATAGTTTTTGTAAAATACAGAGGCAAACAAGTGTAAGAATTGGTGATATTTTTTCTCATATGATTTCAGTGCTGAAGATACTACATAAAAGCTACATCAGAGGAAACTGGCCATTATGGTGCTGTCAAAAAAATCTTATGTAACAGTTATCAAAGAAATGCAACCCAATGATAAATATATTTATTGCATTTTACCTGCATTAAACATAAAACTGCCAGCAGCAATTTAGTCAAAATGTTATGCTATAAATGTGATTGTCAGGACATATTTGCATTGAGCTATTCATGCCTACTAACATTGCCCCTTAATAGCATGTACCATACAGATATTTCTTATTTTGTAATAGCTTAAATTTAAAAAAAAACTACCAATTAATTTTTATGCAGTCATTGGGAAATATGGATTTTTTCATATGAACTAGCATTGCTTTGTTTACTTTATAACAGTACAGTGGTACCTGAAAATAAGCCTACCCTGAAAACAACCCCTAGACTGATTTTTCACACCAGCACATAATATAAGCCCCACCCCCAAAATAAACCCTAGTTAATCCCCGCCCACCATCTGGTTGTACGAGGTGGGGTGAGGCATAAAAATCAAGCTAGGGTTGGGGTAGAGCTGTCCCACACACCCCACACCTGCTTACTTTAGGATCGCTGCAGTCAGGCCTCCCGTGCCCCAACACCTGTCGTGCCACTGCCTGAATTATTCTGCAGCTTCTCGTGGCAGAATGCCACATGGCTCATTGTGCTGGTGCCGCCATTTGCAGCAGAACACCACAAGGCTTGTTGTGCCACCGCCGCTACTCATGGTAGAATGCTGCAAGGCTTGTCATGCCAATGCTACCGCTCTCACATGCAACAGCACAACACGCCATGTAGCCTCTTGCCGCGAGCAGAAGCACCCATGCAACAAGCCACAAGAACTGCAAGTGGCCACAAAAAAATTCAGCCAGCAGCACAACAGGTGTCAAGGTGTGGGAGGCATGGCTGTGGTGGTGCTAAGGTAAGCGGGTAAGATATCCCCCCCACAAATAAGACCTGGTGCTTATTTTGGGGTTGAAAAGAAAAGACCGGGTCTTATTTTCAGGGAAACACAGTACCTTGATACTCAACTGCTTTGAAACACATTGAATTTGGTTTATACAGGCTTCTGCTGGTTATTATAATGAAAACATGCATTTAATATATAATTTGTATATAATTTCTTTATATTATCTACAAAAATTCTATACATTTTTAGAAATGGTAAGTGGGAGAATCTTTTTTCACATGAAAGGAAAAAGTTCAGTTTATCAGAAGGACTATAACATCTAAGTATAACATCATACCTGCTACTTAATATTGAAATAACTGTTATGTATTACTGACAACCTCAACTACATAACACACATGAAGCTAGTCCCTTTAATTGTAATCAGTGTCATCTGAGATGCAGAAAAGGAACAAGGCAAAAAAATTAAAGACATAGATTGCACCATGATCCTCAGATGGATACATGGAGATTGACCATCACCTTCCCAGAATCAAGGCTTTTGCATAACATTGTTTAAATACATCAAGAAA